CTGAATTTATTTAGGGTGTATGCTTGAATGATTCCCTCGTGCACACCACTTTCTCAAGGATCACAGTTCTCTTTAATGAATTCTGTGAATATTGTTTATTTGCTAATTAATCTTTTTTTTTAATACTCCTTTTGGTGGTTGTTCTTATGCATTGCTCTGTGTGTCTTACCTGTCTTTCATTTTTGTATTGCTTCTGTTCTTGTACTTATCAAATCATCTGTATAGTTACATTATTCTTGTTGGTCATTAACTGAGTAACACATGTCTGTTTTGTAGGGTGTAGAATACAAAATTGGGAAATTTCCATTTGCTGCCAACAGTAGAGCAAAGACAAATGCTGACACAGATGGCATGGTGAAGATACTTAGTCAAAAATCAACAGACAGGATGTTGGGTGCTCACATTTTAGGCGCAGTAAGTATTGTACATTGTGCTGCTATCCTGGCCTTGTAAGGGTCTTTTATTTAGCGTTGCACAGTTGCAAAGTAGTTGTCAAGTTAGGAGAAGTGGTGCTTGTAAAAAGAAGGAAGACTTGAGTCTACCATAGTAATTTTTACTTACTGTTCTTTCCCATGGCCTTCCCCTCCTTCCCACTTTCCTGTTACTTTGGTGTTAGACCCAGCTTTTTTTCTTTTCCCCTCATAGGATTGCTCGGGTTAATTGGTTTCTCTGACCAGGTGGGGGTTTTTGTGAATACTGCCCAGTACTTGAGAGAACAGCAGAAATTGTTGACTCAAGTTCTGGAAGTTGAGGGAAGTGAACAGACTGTGGCTTTATCATTGGTATTTTCTTTTTTTCCCCTCCCTCTCTGAACTTCAGACTTCAGCAAAGCTGGTAACCTTATGCTGTAGTCACCACATCTGGGGTCAGTAACTTACGGAACTTTGATTAAAAATCCTTTGTAAAGATGAGAAATCAGAAAACTATATTTGGGAAAAGTATCATCTTCTGCTGTCCCACGCATTCCAAAGTTAGACCCTGATCTCTCCTTCTTTTGTTTCTGAGCTTTAAATCTCCCCCCCCAAGATGTATGCAGAAACACTTCCATGCATCTTTATATACAGCTTTCTTTAAGAGAAACACTAAAACTGCTCTCTGTTTTCCTGGAAAGGAAATTTTATTCCTATGAATGCATATACAGTCAACACTAGTGGATGGGTTTTTTGTTTCTGAACTCGATTCTGATGATTTCTGATCATAATAAATAATAAATACATAATAAAACGTTATGCTAGTTATTTTCTCTCACAATGCCAGTCATTTAAAAATCAGCATGCCTTGAAGCACAATTTAGGTTTATTGGTGTGAGAGAGACTAATTTTCTTCATTCAGAAAGGGCTGGGGGAACCTTATGATTGTGGATCTGAATGCTAAAAATGTAACAGGAGATTTCACTATTTTTGACTCCTCAAAGAAATATTCTCTGAGTAAATAGAACTCACATTAATAAAAATGAGGGTGCAGATATAGTAACGCACTCTTGTTTATCTAGTTAACTTTCCAGGAGGGCACTGAAGTTTTGGGGAGGCTTCAGCAGTGATTATGTACACTGGAGCTTTGATGAGAACATGGGTATTAACTGACCAGTATCTTGTGGTGGAAAAATGCCCAGATATTGCACAACTCTCAGTAATGAGAGAACAAATACTCTTAATAAGAATTATGTGTAGATTTATGCCAGGCTTGAGCACAGTCACCCAATAGATTAAGTACTTATGACTTATATTAGAGCACAGCTGAAGTGCTAGCTATAATACAACTTTTCTTTTTTTAGCAAAAGATGCTTATTTACAAGCTGTTAGTGATTCTGGAGAACCTTGCTAATTACAAATACCATTAAATTACAGGGTGCTGGTGAAATGGTTAATGAAGCTGCCCTTGCCATGGAATATGGGGCATCATGTGAAGATGTAGCCAGAGTTTGCCATGCCCATCCAGTAAGTGTTTTCTAAATGGACTGTTAATTACCGGGGTTACACAGACATGCTATAATCACCCCTAACTATTAATGACTTTTACCTTTTGTGTTTGCTCCCTACAGACAGTGTCAGAAGCCTTCAGGGAAGCAAACCTAGCAGCATCTTTTGGCAAAGCTATCAACTTCTAAAATAAAAGAGCAGATCTTTGTACGTGTACAGTACCTCTCTGGAAATGGACAGTGGGCCCTTATGGAAAGCTGAGTCTGAGGATTTTAGAATGGAATTAAGTGAATCTCTTCATTTTAAACATCAAATATTTAAACAAGTAGAGTTTGGAACAAGTGGAATTATCCAGTCTGTGTAAATTAAATACTTAAAATTACATGTTTATTTACATGATGAATGTTGCAGAAAAACAACCTGATGGAACTCTTATTCAAAACCAAACATGTTGCTGCTGCATGGGATTATCAGGTGTGCTGGTCAAAACTCTAAATAGTGTCCAGCATATCTGGTGTTTTCTTATTTGAAGTAGTGATAGACTAAACCAGTTGAATGCTGGCACTTAAAACGCCGCTGGCACTTAAAATGCCACTGTCACTTCCGCACAAAAATGTGTTTCCTCCTGAAAGGATTAACTTTAGTGTTTAACCTACTTCTTACATACAAGTACCAAAATTTGTTTTGACCTAGTAGTATTAGTATGTTGGGAGAAGAGGGGCTCGTATAGATCCATTAAAACTATGTAGACTTTTTAAAGAGGAAATTACTCTGTTTGTGTGATTCTCCACACATCGCGTTTTCATATTGAAAACTCATTGGGGGAAAAATTGAGTGCTGATGGAGAAATGAAAGACTGAAGAAAAATGAATCTTACTACTTAATCTCTTTTGGTTTTAAAGCTTCCATTGTCCAGCTCTCTTAAATTCGAAACGCTAAACCTGGGTAGTGAAGTAGCACTTGCTGTTAAGTGCTGACATGAGGGTTACTCTGCACCTTCCACACACAACAGCTGCAGTGTCAGCTCTCGTCACAATTAAGACGTACTTTCTTCTCCTCCTTCTGTTTTCTATTTTGTGCTCTCTTTCTGTCTCTTCTGTAGCAAGAGAGCTTAATAAATATTTAACATGGCTGGAGGGTCTTCTTGGGTTTTGTTTGCTGATTGGCGCTGTTACTCCTTTTAGTGTCTAGGTGGAAGATCCCTAACCTGTATAGGGAATGTGCCCAATTCCAGTAGCTCATTTTAAGTTTTGTTTTGCAGGGTGCCATTTTTGGAGGGGTGTTTTTTGATTTGGTGGTTTTTTTGTTATGTTGGTTTATTGCTCGGCTCTTCTGCCTTGAAGAAAACCTTAAAACCTATTGCTGTTGTGTGTGTTTTGTTTCATTATGCCAATGGCATGATAGATGAGAAATATGCATTCAGAAAATGGTGCAAAAGCTACTTGGTTTTGTGTATAGATAAGATGGCTGTATCCTCCTGCCTTTCTTTAGAGCTTAAGTATTGATCCAGTATCAATACTGAGTGATGGAAATATATGCCAATGTTACCATTTTATTAAGATATCAATTAATCAACAAACACCAGTTCTTCATTTTGGTTTGTTGTTTTTTTAACTCCTGATTTAAGTGTAGATGGTGTTAAATCATGACAACTCATTAAAGTTATCACCAGGCTATGAGATGACCCAGCATATCTGTGGAGTAAGTGAATTAATGTGGATCTGCTTTCAGGTGTTAGTAGGAAGTTGCTGAAGGGAATGCAAAGGTGAGACAACAGTGAGGGAAGAAAAACTTGATTCTTTCGATGGATCTAGGCATTTCAGAATCACTTCTGCCTGTTGCAGGCAAATGCTATTAAGTGTTAATCTTGTGCTTTGCAAGTTCTTCCTAGGAGCCATGCTCTTTCAGAAATAGTTTTGTGTCCATTCCTACCACCTCCCTGAATACTTGCAGCAGTCTTACTGCAGTTCAGCCTTGAGGTTCATCAGTTACAAATTCTCAGATCTCATTTTTTTTTCATATTAAATGAATTTTGGAAAGTCAGGGAAACTTTAATCAAGAATACTACTAAAATTATACTGGAGACTATAGCGTCCCAGATACTTGAAAATAAAATTCAAAGCCATAAGACTGTTACCGTATTTTTATTTCTCTTGCCATTGTTCCTGTTCTAGTTAGGTGTACAAAGTGTTTGTAAAGGTAAGGTGAGCTACCGAGCCTCCTGTCAATGCTCTGATGGCAGTTAAGCCTGAACGGTGCAGTTTGCAGACTGGATTTTTAACAGCTGCTTAAGTACGCTGGCAGTAATGGTGTGTGATGCTGGTATGGTAGTCAATACTCACGATTGATTCCCCCCCCCCCCAAGTATTTGTAACTTATGGAGCTTATGGGTAATTATTTAAACATACTGCTCTTCAGTTTGCTTAGGTGGTAATATATTCTGCCACGGTTGTCCTGAGTGACTTTCAGTAACGTTAGTCAAGGTTAGGTAAGGTGTTGATCAAGGTATATACCAGATGCCTTCCTCAGCTCAGAGTTTGCAGTCGGGATGTGTGAAGTATAAATGCACGTTGCAGTTTTGGATGCTAATTTGTGTACCTGATGAATGTTGTAAATTAATTTGTGTGGTACAATACAATTGTCTGAAGGTATGCTGCTCTGTATAACTGAGCTAAAGTATGGTGAACTGGATGTTACTCTTGCACTCTGAAAAAAGTCTTACTTGTCTTTTAAGTCCAAGCTGTTCTCAGAGAGGACCCTGTGAACTTTAGTAGTTCCTTTTCCAGAGAGGCTTGATCCTCCAAGCTTGGTTTATCACCTAAATTCTGTGCTTGAAATGTAAACCACACTCACCCCTTCAGTGCTGACCTGTTTCTGCTTCCCATATCAAGTGTTTCATAATCAGTGACATGAAACTAGTGTTCAGCCTAAATAGATATAATGCAGAGGGTAAATAATCCTTTTTGAGTACTGTGGTGTAAATGCTAGCTAACACCATGAAGATGGTGTTTCTTCGTTCACTTGTAGTTTTGAGTGACCATCCTATATTTCATAGTAATTGGAGCCCTTATTTAGAATTCTGTAGTTGGAGCCAAGATTTTATTAGATCTCTAACGAGTTTAAAAACAAGACTTGTTAAAGGATTAATTGATTTCCTATTTCAGCTACTGAAAATAGGAAGGAAGTTAATGAGTCATACTAGGTACATACTGTGATACAAAAGTACTGTTTATTTTCAACATCAAAAAGTTACTTGTCTTTGGTTCTGTGACTTGAAAGTCAATATAAAACCTGTTTGATTTATCAGGTCTTAGTGTAATGTCAAAAAGAACTAGTGTAATACTTGTAAAATCCATCCTGAACGCAAGCACTTCCTGCTCCCATCTATAAGCAAGTGCTATAAACAGCAACCTTCTGGCTGATTGTCTGTAAGAGGGAGCGAACTGTCTCTTCCAGCTCCACCAGCTGCTTGGCTTTGTCTTCCAGAACTTTTTGATTGTTTTCATATGTATTTTCCAAGTCTGTCAGCAAAGGAGGAGGAAACCAGCTTAATTAGGGGTGTTTTAATGCAGTAAAATATAAATCATTATTGTTACGGATAAACTACTACTCAACTTTATTGCAGAAGAGAATCCGATTGGGGGGGCGGGGGGAAAGGCTGGAATGGCACCTTTTTTTTTTTTACCATTGGGACATAAAGCAGTAAGGCAGTAATTTTCCGTAAGTAGAAATCCAAAAGTATACTTTGATTCATGCTGAAAATAATTGTCGTTCTCTGCCCTATGGTGGCTCTTACAGAACAGTGAAATGCTTTGGCTTGTTATGGTTAGACTATTCAGCAACTTCTTGTAACTGTGCAGCAGGAGCTAAGGGGAAGAACTGAGTTCCTGGCCTGGCACAAACAGAAGGAAAACTTAGCTCCCTCCCTGGTAGTTATGGGTGGATTGCCCCCTCTGTTTCAGTCAACTTTAATCATCAATAGTAAATGTTAAATTAATCTGTAAACTGGGACTGCTGTATCCTGATTACCTTTTGTTTTTCTGGGGTGGGGTTAGTATTGTTTGAAGATGGGGGGTCTTGCTTGATCCAGGTTAGTCCTTATCCTAAGCATGGTAGTTAATGTTCCTTCCCTGTGGTAGTTCTTGGAGCAGCAATAGGTACCATACCAAAAATTTGTGTCTCACTGTAAGTTTCAGCTTTTTTTACAGAAATCTTTGATTCAAAAGACTATGTTGTGTCCATAAGAATAAGGAAACCAAATCAAACATCAGTAACAAAGAATTTACTCCCACTTTTTTCCCCTACTGCTGATGAATAGTCAGTTTAACAGCATGACATTGTTTCATAGTCTAAGATAACAGCTTACCTCCTCAGAACAGCCTTACCTTTGAGCAGCTGGAGTTTGCTGTTTGCTTGAGCCAACAAGGCTTTAGCTTCATCTTGCAACATGCCAGCTTTCCTCCTAGCATCAGCTGACTCCTCTGTCTTCTTGGCAATGAGATCTTCCACTGTTTTATACTTGTCATTCAGCTCGGTGTTGAGGACCTGTTGTTCCAGATTGAAGCACAAGATGGAGCTCATTCAAAAGAGAATGCAGCAGGAGTTTGCATTTCCTCCCTCTCTTTACTAATCCAGGTGTAAAGAGACTACAGATGTTAGCTCAGTTAACAAAAGCAGAAACGGTGTTGGGGTATTTCCTACGTAATATTCAAGATTAAGAGTTGGGGTGCAGAGTCATCAGTTGCCCTTTTGTAGATCTGTGTCTGTTCTAACACTGACACTTGGCAAGCATGTATGGGATTCAGTGACACAATTCTGTAACTAATGGAAGCCATGGCCCCGAGGACAGCTGGAAAGCTGCGTATGGTAAGGAACCAGCACTGCTTCTGGCTGAATGTTTGCCTGTAGGGAGGAATCCTCTCATTACCCCTTTGGTAAGGAGAACAGACGCCTAGTTTGCATAGGTGAAGGTGCTGGAGAAGTCATGAGGTTGGTTTCTTGGCTGTGCTTTTCTCTGCAAGGTTAAGATTAAGGAGTCCTGTGACCCAACTGAATTCAACTGATAAGCAAGTTAACAAGCTGCAGCAGTATGGGAAGTCTCTTGTGTTTACTCAACAGCCACCTGAAATACTACTTAGTGTTTGGAAATAATTGATGTGATGGATAATACATCTCTCCTGGCAGAAAATGTCTCTCTGGAGACTAATGGGCTAATTACAGACAACAGATTACAGCAACAGAACTTTCTTTGGCAGATTTGTCAATTGTTTTGTTAATGAGCATTCTTTTACTATTACAAAGGTGTGTAGCAGACATTGGGAGCAACACCATATGGTCATAGAGCAAACTTTGCATCTGTGGTATTTAGAAATTATTCTGGTTTTATATTGAGCTAAGGATTTTTCTTGTCACCTATCCTTGTCATAGAACCATAAATAATATATCAAATGGGGAAAAAAAAAATTAGCAGTTTTCCTGTGGCAGATAGTAGAGCTGAGGGACAGAAACGAATCTTATGAAAGGCCATCAGCGTGACAGCATGACATGTTTCCTGCAGCAGTTTTAGAACTGGAAAACTTCCCAATACTTCTTTGTATCTGGTACCAAAGCAAGTAAAAAACAGCTGTTTTTGTAAGGGCATTAAGTGGTTTTTTTTGGTCCCCCATAAATGAAATGGATCTCATGTATTCACTAATGTTCCTTTAGCCAAATGTGGAGCAACAGCTCTCTTGGCTTTCCCTTGGCATCTTTCCTGAGCTTCTCACCTTTTTAACTTCTTCAGCATTTTGTTTTGCAGTAACAATTTTTTCTTCTATATTGTCCACATTCTCTGAATTTGTAGCAGCCTTTTGCTTAAGGTCTTCAACACTCTTCTCTAGCTCAAACAGACGTAAGGTAGCATTGTTCAGTGTTTCTTCAGATGCTGCATTTTCAGATTCAATCTAAAAAAGAGGGACAATAGTTACATTTTCAAAAGACACTGAACATAATAGTAAGCTTTCTAGATAAGCCCCGATCGACTAACTACTTCATGTCCGTACATCTGATGTAAACCCTAGTGTTTTGGTTTTGTTACAAATGGCCAATTGCAGTCAAGATGAAAGAGCCCATTGCGTGAAGGTGAGGTACATATGGGGCTGCAAAGGCATAAAGGAACACGGTTAAAAATTACCTGATTGTATTACACATGCAAGAGTTGCCTAATCCACTGGTAAAACTTCAGACATTTGACTCCATCATTTGATAATGGACTTGTGAAGCTGCGTATCGTCTAAGCTGGCCAAGCTTCATGGGTCTAGATAATGCTATGGTCTCACGAGGGCTTTGAGATAAATCTGAAAATACAGTATCTGACAAGACTACAGCAATTGCCACTTTAATCCAGCACTTGTTTGTTTTAGTCTCGTGCTGCAGTGGTGGATGACACTGATAGCACAGCTATGCCAGTAACTACTGAGGGGGTCAACAATTTTGACTTTAAGGGACCCTGGCACACCTGCGGTGTTAGAGGGCTGCAGTCCTGCTCCTTTAACTTGAGTGGTGCAGGATATAGGGTGAAAAAAGCCTTATTTTTTTCTTTTTTTCTTTTTAAGGGGTAAATGGACCCCTAGAATCTGTTCT